CTATGCACTATGCTTGAGAGTAAAAGATAAAATTGCAAAAAACAAAAGGAAGAGTGCCGGAGATTCTCAACTGGGCTTATTACACCTCATACCAAGTCACCATCATCTGATGCGCGGGATCAACGGTCTAGCTTCAATCTCGAACCGGGAAAGCAAATTTCGGCCAAGCCACATCAATAGAACATAAACCCTTTTGATCGCAAACTCCAACCCTAGGTGAATTCCCTTAGTAACTTAGTTTGAGAGAGATGGATTTTCTTTTTGCTAAACCTTAAAACCCTTAGCCATAAATCTATATTTGAAAGATAAGAGAGAGAAGAACTGCATAACCTAAGCCTTTAGGTTCTTTTACAATGTGGGAGAGAGTGAAACTTTTCTTAAGAGAGAGAGAGAAATTCTAAGTGGGATATAAGAGAAATATGGAATTAGGTACAAGAGATAATGTGTAGAGATTTAGGGTACAGACAATCCATTTTTTATAGGCTTGAACAAGATTAAGGTTTCTTAGGGTTTTCTTTGGCTTGCCTCTTCTTGTGAGATTGAACATGGACCATCGATTAAGGGTGACTTGTGGGGTGAGAGATTTGAGTCATCTATTCCATAGATGGCCCATCAACATTATGGAATGTGTATGGACCATTATCCCCCTTTTCTTAATCATTTTCCCATCAATAGAAATTAGATAAATTTAATTTAAATAAAATATTATGTTTTCCATAATCTTTCACAAAATATTCCAAAGATATATCAAGTTAATATACACTTTCAATATTTGGTCAATATATGGTCAAAATATTCTCATATCTTTTATTTGACTACATGCCATATTATATCTTACCAAATCTTAAATTAACTTAATCTACAAGAAAACAACCAAGAGGTGGGGCGTGCCACCCATGTGTGGCACGTGTGGGCCCCACCCACTTGTCACATGGTGGGCTCATGTGTACTCTGGGCCCTCATGATATTTTATATAATTTAAAATTAACAAAATAATTTTTAAAACATTATTTGAATTTTATAATTTTGTAAAAAAAATATCTTCATTTTTATAAGTCCAAAAATTGTAAATAAAATATCAAAAGACTCATAAAAATTCAAATAATAATTCTAAAATAATTTTTATCATAAAACAAACATAATTAAATTAACTTGATGGGAAATGAATTCATATGGTTTAGGAATTCAATCTGCAGTTATGAGACACTCCACCTTCAATTGTGGACTTCAGACCACACTTGCTTTATCAAACCAACCCAATGTTTCTCATGACCTACAGTCCAAGCAGGGGCTCATTAGTGAGTCACCAAAGTCTGGCCGATAAACCAAGGGGTCCCAGTATGTGGATTACAAATCTTTTCCTAGAGAAAGTCAATGTCACCAAGACCTTATGCAACCATAGCTCAATGGCGCATAGGGGTATCTCTCGCACATGCATACGCTTCACCCTAATAGTGGATTTTTGGCTTTCCCGAACGATCTATCGATATGCATGCCGTGTGATAGCATATGGATGAGGGTCTGGCCCCTGTCTCTATAGGTCACCATCACACACAAAGGTCACACGGTCCCTCGGCTCACTCATCCAGGCATGTTCTCCCACCTCATCAAGGGCTAACACATAAACCCTCATCGGTTTGTTCTTCATGCCTAGGTAATATAGGTTTTTCCCAACCGACTGGCCTAGATCGTCAAGCACAAATCGGTATCAGCAAACTATCGTTTACTTAGTATGATCCACGAGGGACCACACTCCCACTGAGTTCATGTTCTACTATATCATTTCATTTTACAAGCACTCATGAGGCCTTTAAAGATCACATAGACCCAACATTATCTCTTTCCTCACGTGTCTTTTTAATTTCCTAACAACTTTTATCTCCTCCCTATTTGTCTCTCCTTTAAGATTGGTTTTATTCTACCTAAAATCCTCACTCTATCTAAATCTCCTTAAATATCTAATTAAATCTTCGAAATCCATCAAAATTGGAGACCTAAATCCCTTTTCCCAATATTTATAAAACAAGTCACGCATTCTACCTAAAATCCTCAATCTTTATCTAAATCTCCTTAAATATCTAATTAAATAATTAAATCTTCCAAATCCATCAAAATTGGAGACCTAAATCCCTTTTCCCAATATTTCTAAAACAAGTCACGCACAAAATCGCATACCTAATTTTTATATGCAACATTCTCCACGGGTTGGGAGAAGCTCGACTTCGAGAAGCCAATCACCTTCTACTAATTGGTGATGTAATCCCACCACCTTTTTTTCAATTTCTTCGTTAAGCTGATTCATCAAATGCTTTGTGCTTATCTCGAAATAGAACATAGTGATTTCAGACTCAATCTTGATTTCTCCTTCAGACTCACTTGGTTGGAATTTGAATATTGCATCACACATTTTTTTTTCATAGTTGATTTTTAAAATATTTTTTCTTTTTCTTTACCATTGATAGGCGAAATTTCTTGTACATCGGTGCCGCCTTTTGTATCGAGATCTACCTCTTCATATTCTTGTTGCATATTGGGGTTGAGGTGATCGTCGTCGTCTGTTGTATCGAAATCTACCAATTCATGTTTTTGTTCCTTTAGTTCTGATTACAATCTCTCAAATACATCAAGTAGATATTTTTTCTACTACTTTGCTAATACTCAATCTCTAAAATACATCTAGTAGACATTTTTCTACTACTTTGCTAATACTCTCTGCTCTGATAACAACTGATGCATGGAGCAAATAAACTATAACAATAAAAATAAAACAAAGAAAATTGTTGAGAGAATATACCCTCTTTCAAAGTCTACAAGGAAATTCACCCTAAAAAGTCAATTCAACCATCATCTTTTACAATTCCTTTTTAATAGAGTTTAAGGGTAAAATAAACAAATAAAAAAAAACTCACCAAAATATATCTCTCTCTTCCACATTTTTTTTCTTCCCTTCCCTATTTTTCTCTCTCTTCATCTCCTTATCATCTCTCTTTCCTCATGTGTCTTTAATTTCCTAACAACTTTTAACTCCTTATTTATCTCTCTTTTAAGATTGGTTTTATCCTACTTAAAATCTTCAATCTTTATCTACATCTCCTGAAATATTTAAGTAAATCTATCAAATCCATCAAAAATAGGAGACTTAAATCCTTTTACTTAATATTTCCAAAAACATTCAATCTTTTTCTACATCTCCTTAAATATATAAGTAAATCTATCAAATCCATCAAAATAGGAGACCTAAATCCCTTTGCCTAATGTTTCCAAAAACAAGTCACGCACAAAATCATATACCTAATTTTTATCTGTTCTTTCATATCAGTGTACGGTGGATAATCTTACCTAGGGGAATGTGCATCATCTAGGACTTCATTTAATCTCCACCTTAAATACTTGAGAATAAATGCTAGATATTCTTCTTCTTTTTTGGGGAAAGTAAATGCTAGATATCCTTCTTGTGCATCATGTGCCATATACAGGTTGTGTTCTTTATTCTTTATCTTTTGTAATATTCTAATCTCATGCTCCAATCATGGTTTTCTTGAATTAAAATGCGGAAGAGGAAGCATAAGGCAGTAATAGAGCGAAATTTATTATAATTGGACAGAGAAACAATTTTTTAAGTAAGTTAGCTTACTATTTTTCACTGAACTGTTCAACAGGATAATTCCTTCTGATCTAGCATCTTTGTCAGAATTGGATGCTCTCATCAAGGATGGCTTTGGATATGCAACAGCATATCTGAAATTTCTAAACTCGGTAATACATAATATATGTACCAGTAGTAATTGTATGATGATGTAAATTGATTTATTCTTATTGTGTTTTCTGTCATTATTAACTGCCTTGAATTTTCATCGAGTCACAAAGTCCTATTTAATCTTTCATGTGTTGTGTTCAAAATCTTTTCCGAGGTAACATGTGGCACTTTTTGTTGTTCATTTCTCTTGTAGAGTAGCAGTAAAGAGATGCTTAAAGTTTTCTTGCACGGTGCATGTTGTGTGACATACCACATTCGAAAGCTTTTACTTTGCTCCTGGAACATTTGTTTCAAATTAGATGCCTGCTTACCTTTTCTACTGAGTTTCTGTTATGTGTGAGATGCACATCGAATCAGTGCTTGAAAATTCGATTTAAAATCAAAATGAGTCATAAGTCAATTCTACTTGGCTGGTTGCAGAGTTATGCAACTAAATCCTCTGATATACCTGTGTTTCTTGTATTAATATATTTGGGAAATGATCCTATGCAGTTTCACTGCACAATTCCTGGGTGTACAAGAGTTTTGGACTGTCCATTCAATTAATAAAAATTCTCGACACCTTTAACTTGGAGAACATGGACAAATCCCAAACGAAAATGCTATCATCTACAAATAGAGGTCTCTTAGATCAAATGAGAGGAATCGAGAGAATGAATCGGGGAAAGAACACAATAATAACACAAAAAAGGATCTAGATTATTTAGTTACAAACTCCTATCTCTTAGGACAACCAAGTTTCCAAAGAATGTTATGGAGGCCAAGCATCCCCCTCTCTGGGTCTTCACAGATCTTTTCTCCCCTCAAAATTAGCAAGTTTTAGGAAGAGACAATAAATTTAGAAAGAGAGAGAGACCACAGTTACTAGCAGCTGCAAAACCTCGTAGATGTATGGTTCACTCCAATATTTGAAGACAAAAGGCAAGGTCAATGAGCGCCCAGGGCTTCTTTGATGAAGAGGAATGGTTTGATAACACGTGAGTGAAAAATAGGTAAGAAAATCAAAACAGATCAGAGCAATAGAAAGACATGAAATTGAAACTAGTGGTTATGTGGAATTCAAAGGAGAAACTATAATTAATTTTTCCCTTTTCTTTTGTCAATGTATCTGAATTTCATGTACAAAATACTGCTGTGAACAAGAAATAAAACCTAAAATAATAATGCTAGTACAAATAATAATCCTGGAAACTCAAATAAACAAGCAAAGAAGGACTGAAAATAAAACCAAACTGTTAGAAATGCTTACATGAATTTGTCTAGAGTCACCCACCTTAAGACTTAGTACACCACACATTTGATTTTCTGACCAATGACGCGCTATGATCCTACTGAATTTTTTGAGTCAGAAAGCTTCCTTAAGCAATACCTTTCAGATCTAGGGGTTTTCATAGCATAAACATAGTTAGGCTTCCTAGACTCCGTTTAGACCTCGCTAGGGCATCAGTCTTACTGTGGGTTGGGCATGCCACTCTCTATTTCTTTGGGTGGTGTGCCAATCCTAGTAGCTTAGGGTGGTGTGTGCCATCATTTGGTGATTACAGAGGATAGAGAGATAGGAGAGGGGGCATGGAGAGAGAGGCTAGGAAAATTGTAGTGCCCCTCTTTTTACCCAAAAAAAGAGCAGGGTTCCCCTCTTTATATAGGCCTCAAGGGCCCCTAGTCCGGTATGCCTATCCAATTTATGACTCGGGTAGGTCTATTCAATTTATGACTCAACACGACCATGACCAGTAGGATTTTAATAATTATGTGAGGAGAGAAAGCTGAAAACTAAGCCATCCCTCCTATTAATCAACCATCATAATTTAGGAAGGAACCTTATACCTAGAATCTTTGAGGCATACCTACTTCAACTAGGATATGACCAATTTAAAGCAATATTCTAGAACTTCTCTTCTCTCACAAAAGTGTAGGAAGTCAAAAATAAAAGATTTGTTCAAAGATACAAAGCAGATTTTCAAAAACTAACTCCCACAAAGAAGGACATAATGTTTTCAAAAAAATTTCTAGCCAACGTAGACACCTTCTAATTTTTTTTAATAGAAATACGAAAAAGAGGAGGGGGTGTGCCACCTCATGTGTGAGGTGTGGCCCCCATGGGCTCCATGCCCCACCTATGTGGATGTGGTGCTCATGTGGGGTTGGATCCAAGTGCCCCACATGTATTCCTACAATTCACTCCAATAAACAAAAATTTCTAAAACGCCCCTTTTAAGTGTTTTTATTGCTGAAAATAATTTTAAAAATTCTGGGAATTCTAGAATTTATAAAAATATCTCTTACATTGAAAATAAAATATCTAGAAGTGGATGGGTAGCAATGGGTAAAGATAAGTGATTCTCAGGGCACTTCGCCTGACCCAGTAACCGTGATCCTCGACTATCTTCTCAAACCAAACCAATGAGGCCCATGATCCACAGTCTCATATATGGGCTCATGATTGACTAGTCAAAGGTCTCAAATAAATAGTGGAACCACAGTCTCAGAATGTAGGTTACAATTCCCCCCCGCCCCCCCCTTACTTGCAAGGGGGGACTATCTTTATGGACATTTTGAGGGTTGCTTCATGTGACAGTCATGTGCATAGTTGTGGGGATTTTGGGCAAGATGGTGATCCCCATTTGGAATCTCGATCCTGATATCCTTGAGCAGGAGCTCAAGTGGTGGTACTCGATTCCTACCATCAAGGATCTTGATACATACATATTGAGATCTTGATTCCTAACTTAAAGGGATCTCGATCCTCAACTGCAGAGAATCTTGATCCACTCCGCCAAATTGTCTACTTAATTGATGATTTTTATTGTATTATATTATTCCAAAGTGTATTATAATGATGGAAAATTTTCATATATTTGTTTTTTTTTTCCTCTTAATTTTCATTTAAAATCTTTAGTTTGATATATATATATATATATATATATATATATATATATATATATATAGTGTAGTTAGTTATTAGTAGTTCTTTGTTCTTATTTATTA